CCCTGACAGAACGAAGGGAGTCAGGGACCGAGTGACTACGAAGTAGAGAGTGATGTACATCGGGGGCGGGTTCCCAACAAGGAACTCGGCCGGGAGGGCAGCGCGGTAGCGAGCGTCGCTAGCGCGCAGGTGGGAAACCAGGTCCTCTACTGTGGCAAAAGCGGACAGCTCGGGGAACAGGTAGGGGCCCGGGACCGCGGGGCCAGGGGCGATGGGGCCGCGGGGCCGGGGGCCTAGGTCGACAGGGTCGCGGGGGCCGGGGGCCTAGGTTGACGGGGTCGCGGGGGCCGGGCGGGCCGCGGGGTCGAGGTTGACGGGGCCGCGGGGGGGGGGAGGGGGCGGGGGCCTAGGTTGACGAGGCCGCGGGGCATAGGTCGACGGGGTCGCGGGGCTAGGGGCGATGGGGCCGGGGGCCTATGTCGACGGGGCCTAGGGGCGACGAGGCCACGGGGCCAGGGGCTACGGGGCCGAGGGGCGAGGGCCAAGGGGCCGCGGGGCGAGGGCCGGGGGCCTAGGTCGACGGGGCCGCGAGGGGCGACTGGCGACGAGGGTCGCGACGGGCCTAGGGCGACCGAGGGGCCAAGCTAGGGGCGACGCCAAGGGGCGACGGGCCGGGGCCTAGGGGCGACGGGCGCGAGGCAAGGCTAGTAGGGAAGCAGGTGGTGGGCCCAAAAAACGGTCCTAGGAAGGGACTTGCTCTGAAACCATGTCAAAGTTACGAATGAGAATGAATGAACTAGCAAAGAGTTGGGTACAAGTACTAACCCTAATTGGGTTGTACCCCTTATGGGCTACCCCACTACAGCCTACACAATGTAACCAAAAAAAAGTTTGACAACACGAGCAAGGGGGTGCTACCTGACCTGACGCGGACACCTGAGCAGACGCAGCTACCTGAGGAGGCTCGGTAGCGAGTGTGTACAGACTCAACCCTGGCCGACGAGTGAACGTAGCCAGGTGACGACCCGTCCATGTACATGTGCAGATCGACACACACTGACCCCCAGGAGTGGTGGTAGTGACCATCGTGTCCTGGAGGGCAGCGGTACTCACCAAGTTCGTAGAGAACGAGGGGAGGTGAAGACCTGACAGTGAGCCGGACGGAACCGTGGGACACGGGAGGACAGTGCAGGAACGAGCAACGACCGGGCCCCCGGAGGGGTCAGCCAGTCTGACCGGGACAGGTGCAGGGAGAGGAGTGAGGGTGGTGCTGTCACGAAAGAAACAGCATGAGGCACCTGAGTCCAGCGTGAAGGTGTGCAAGGCCTCAGCAGGCGCAGTACCAGGGAGAGAAGACTCACTAGCACCTAGAGCAGCGGCCTCTATACCTGGGTCAGGCGGCACACACCGGTAACAGTTACCCTCAGCACTAGCAGACAAAGCACACATAGCTGAAAGGATAGCATCATAGTTTAGGTCAAAGATCGCAACTCCAGACCTAAGCAGCTCTGCCCTGTGGGGGCGCTCGACCTCGTCACCAAACTCAGCGCGCGAAGCGTCATCGAGGCGGGAGAAGCAGCGGTGCTGAGTGTGAGGCTTCCCGCATGTCTGACCAGCACGGTCACCCGTGCGAATGACATACGGGCAGCTCACACTACCCCCATACGCCCCACGCTGAAACAACCACTCACGAAGCTGCTGGGGCGATGGGGACTCGCTCCGACGCTGCTGCCGCTGCCTCTGGCCTCCTCCAGAACCTCCACGCTGAGCTCCAGTCCTACCGCCACCACTCCCACCGCTGCCTCCACCACCGCCACCAAAGCCCCCACTCCCGCCACCACTCCCACCGCTGCCACCACCTCCACTGGCTCCACCACCTCCACTGCTGCCCCCACCACCACCCCCGCTGCCACCTCCACCACCCCTGCCACCCTTGCCCTTGCTGCTGCGGCGCTTCCCACTAGCGGAAGCAGCTCCGACATCCTCAGCACCAAGGACGTCAACAACAGCAGCAGAGGCGTAGAAGGGGACAAGGGGGGAGGGGGAACACCCCTCAAAGAAGGGCGTGCTAGGAGTGCCACGAGCAGCACCTACAGCGACTACACTAGTCTCAGCTGCAAAGAGGTGCTGCTCGAGTAGGTCAACAGTGAGGGCTGTGGGGTCGAGCGCGAGAAAGTGGTCCCTGACAGCACGAAGAGAGTCATGGAGGCGGGTGACTATAAAGTAGAGAGTGATGTACATCGGGGGCGGGTTCTTGGCAAGGAAATCCGCTGGGAGGGAAGCACGGTAGCGAGCGTCGCTAGTGCGAAGGTGGGAAACAAGGTCCTCTACTGTGGCAAAGGCGGACAGCTCTGGAAACAGGTAGGGCAGGAGAAGACGGCCTAGAGCAGCCGTGGCAGGCGAGGAGTAGCGGGCAACTACAGCATCGTACAGTGCCTTTTCTGTCCTGTGAAGTTCGAAGTGAGCGCATTCGGCCAACGAAAGGCGGTTGCGAATGGCTAAGCAAGTAGTAGCGTCACGAGTAAGCCACTGTGAGCGAGTCGCACTGTCAGCTGTGGCGGTAGGGGCGGGAGCGGCGCCAGACGTGTGGTCAAACAATGAAACACTGTCCCTAGAGTCGCTCAGTAGGTACAGCTGCAAGTCGTCGAGCCACGTGTCCAACTGGATCGGTCGGCCCTCATGATCGAACGCAGAAGCCATAGTGGCGCAGCACGCAGGGCGGGCAGAGGCCGGGCAGCACAGAGAACAGGGGCAGGCAGCAGGCTGCAGGAGGGGCGGCTCGAGGGCCTAGGGGCGGCCGCGGGGCAACGTGTCGGGGCCAGGGGCGACGGGCCGGGGCCTAGGGGCGACGGGTCGGGGCCTAGGGGCGACGGGCCGCGGGGCCTAGGGGCGACGGGCCGAGGGCCTAGGGGCAACGGGCCGCGAGGCCAGGGGCTAGGGGCGACGGGCCGCGAGGCCAGGGGCTAGGGGCGACAGGGCCGCGGAGCCAGGAGCAACGGGCCACGGGGCCGGGAGCGACGGGCCGGGGGGCTAGGGGCGACGGGACACGAGGCCTAGGGGCGATGGGCCGGGGGCCTAGGGGCGACGGGCCGCGTGGCCAGGAGCGACGGGCCGCAGGGCCGGGAGCGACGGGCCGGGGGCCTAGGCGCGACGGGCCGCGGGGCCAGGAGCGACGGGCCGCGGGGCCGAGAGCGACGGGCCGGGAGCCTAGGGGCGACGGGCCACGGGGCCTAGGAGTGACGGGCCGCGGGGCCAAGAGCGACGGGCCGGGGGCCTAGGAGCGACGGGCCGAGGGGCCTAGGGGGGAATGGCCGCGGGGCCAGGAGCAACGGGTCGGGGGCCTAGGGGCGACGTGCCACGGGGCCAGGAGCTACGGGCCGGGGGCCTAGGGGCGACGGGCCGCGGGGCCAGGAGCGACGGGCCGCGGGGCCGAGAGCGACAGGTCGAGGGGCCGAGAGCGACGGGCCGGGGGCCTAGGGGCGACGGGCCGCGGGGCCTAGGGGGCGACGGGCGACGGGCTACGGGCCGCGGGGCCTGGCCTAGGGGTCGACGGGTCGCGACGGGCAGTAGGGGCAGCACGAGGGCTGTAGAGGGCGGCTAGCGGGGTAGCACTATGGTGGGCCCAAGGAAAAAAAAACGGTCCTAGCGGAGGACCTGCTCTGAAACCATGTCAAACGAATGAACGAGAATGAATGAACTATGAAACGGTTGGGTACAAGTACTAACTCTAATTGGGTTGTACCCCTTATGGGCTACCCCACTATAGCCTACACAAATGTAAGCACTATAACATTCTGACATGATTCGCCCACCTGTGCGTTTGCATCTCCAGCGTCTCGTCCTTGTCTGCGTCTACGTCTCCGACCCCCTTCCCAAGATGTGGGGACCCCATCCTCTGCCTCGACCGAGACGTCATCTGACTCCACCTCCTGTTCCTCCATATATTCAGACCCCTCCTCCCCTGCATGTTCATTCATTGGTTCTTCCATATTTTCCTCCGGCCTCCCGTGTCTTTCTCGCCAGTTTCGAGATCTGGCCTTCTCTCTTGCCACCGATCTCGCCAGCTCCCCCACGCGCCCGCCCCTGCCCCGGCCTCGCCCGCGGCCTCTGGCGGCCGCCCTTGCCGCCGCGTTTCGCAGCTGTTGGCCTGCCGTTTCTTTGTCTGCTCTCTCCTGCAACGCTCTCTGTCGGCTTGTACCCGCCCTCCGCCGTCGTTCTGCGGCACTAGCCGCCAACACCAACTCCTCCTCGTGGCCGTCGTCCTCCGCCTGCTCTGCCGCTCGTTGCTCTCCCTTCACCTCCTCCTGTGCCTCCAGGCGACCTGTTGATGACGGGCAAACGTCGTCCCCCACCGCGGCGGGAGCGCGCGGCGGGGTACCCTGCTGTTCCCAGCCCGCCAGAGGCCCCGCGCTGGCTGGCGCCAGTCTTGCTCCGAGCCGTCGCTGCCCTGGTCAAGCACGAGGGGGCCAGGATCCCCTCTCGTCCCCGAGAGCCGGTGTATCAGTCGCCTCGCGGGCGAAGGCCCCGCGCGGGCTGGCGCCAGTCTTGCTCCGAGCCGTCGCTGCCCTGGTCAAGCACGAGGGGGTCAGGATCCCCTCTCGTCCCCGAGAGCCGGTGTATCAGTCGCCTCGCGGGCGAACCCACCCTCATCTGAGGGCTCGCGGTGGTTCCTTTCGTCGTCGTCCAGCGACAGATCGTCGGTCCGCATCTCCAGCCGCCCTCTCCTCTGGTGTCTCGGCCGCCTCCTCAGCTGCCTCCGCCGACGGTGTCTCAGTAGTCTTCCCAGCAGTAGTCGTCCGGCCCTGCTACGTCGGCCCCTCTGGTGGCCCTGCCCTCGCCGATGTCAGCGCCGCTGTCAGCGTCAACCTCTCCCCAGCCTCCCCTTCTGGTGCCTCCACCGACAGTGCCATCTGCTGGGGCAACTCTCGTGCCCCCCGTTCCAGCTCCGTCTCATGTCGCTGCCGTTCCACCGTCTGAGCTTCCACAGCGGCAGCATCCTCTTGTTCCTCTCGACCCCGCTCCTTTCGCTCGTTTCCCTCCTCCTCGAGCCCGGTCTCCAGAGTTTCTGCCCGACTCACCTGATCGTGAGGATGACGAGAAGTGGTGGAACAGTGAGACATGGGAGTCCCCCCCGCAGTCGGGCACTCTGTGGGGCCGCGACTGGGACATCCAGTCCGACTTCGTTCTTGACGTTCTCCGTTGGGAGCGGCGCATGATTGGTGTTGGCGAGTGTCTCTCCCACGTGGCGACGGCACTGGAGCAGCTGCATGCCGGCATGGAGGCGCGGAAATTCGTGCTCCGGGATCCTTAGCTGACCGAGCACCAACAGGGTGTTGTCCGTGAGGCTGCGGCGCAGGGCTTGTGGCGGCTCCTCCGCTTGCCCCTTGAGTCCGAACACCCTGACGAGAACGAGGGGCCGGGCGCGAGGGCTTTCCGCAGGGTCGCCACGGCTGCCGAAGAAGCTCCCCTCCAGCTTGTGCCTGCGCTCGCGTCCTTGCTCCGCTGGATCCGCAGCCGTTTTTACGTGCTAAACCAGGAGTAGCCTTCTGCCCCTTTTGGGCCTTGGTTGTGGCCTTAATGCACCCCATCTCCCCTTCCCTACTTACCTTGCCCGGTTTCTTAGGGCAGATCTACTGCTGCATGTTGTATGTCTCACAAGTGAAACGTGTTGTTTGTTGCTTGCCACCCCTCACGCGTGACCGAAGGCCGCGCTGTCGATTTTTGGAGAGTAGAATGAACTCACCAGAAAATAATGAGGAAGGAAGGACTCACCTAAGGCTTATATACTAGGCTAAAATGCTAGGAGAGGCTAGGGAGAGGCTTTGAGAGGCGAAGGACTGAGATCCTAGTGCCTCTCTCTCTCTCTCTCAAGCGGTCCTTCATTGATAGTAAGCAGGGTACAGGCAAGGCATATAAGAATCAGCAATTCTAGCATGTAGTTTAGGTGTCTACCTGGTTAGCAAGCAAGTAACACCAACAACAACAATGACAATAGCCATAACCACCTGGTGGCACGCATGCTAGTTGGCCAGAGAAGCCATGAGGCCCACCTAGTGCCTAGTGCCCTAGGACCGCAGCTTGGAGTGGCCTCACACTCCAGCCACCTCACCCCAGCCCCCTTACTCCAGCCCCTCACCCATCTAGGGCCAGCCCCCAGTCTAGCTCGTCCTCAAGGACCTGCCAGAGGTCCCCAAGGCGGGGCTCCTTTGAGTCGACAGGGGCCTGGGGGAATGCATGTTCCGTTGCCATGTTGGACTTTGCCAGCAAGGTATTGGCATGGCTGCGCTGGAGCATCACCGACCACCGCTGTCGGTAGTGTGCAGTCAGTTTGGAGGCCACCGTGGTGAGCCTCCCCTGCCTGTACTTCTTCTTGGCCGCCTGGGTGCCAAGGAGTCGGAGGAACCTCTGGGTGTCTTGTGCTAAGGCCCCATAGGTCTCCACTGCCAGCCCAAACACCCCCACAAAATCTGGGCGCCCCTCGTACAGCCCCCTCTTCCCTCTCGCCGCATCCTCTGCTGCCCAGCCAGGTCGCTTCACAGCCCGTGTGTCTTGGCGCTGCAGTACCGGATCTGTCATCGTGACATCAGTGACAAAGGTTTCGGCCGACTCCCTATCCGTGATGACCAGGTCTGCTCACTTAGGGTTGACTATTGGCAAGAAGACGGCGGTCTCATGCATGGTCATGTAGTCGGCCTCCCTGGCCATCTCTCTCTCTCTCTCTCTCTCTCTCTCTCTCTCTCTCTCTCTCTCTCTCTCTCTCTCTCTCTCTCTCTCTCTCTCTCTCTCTCTCTCTCTCTTGTTCTGCACCTCCGCTTTTTTTACTATAGGCTCTTTGCCAAATTAGTAGGCCTTTAAGAAGGAATTCTTTATTAAATGAACCAACACACATAGCAATGCTTTTGTAGCATGCATCACGCCACCAGGTGGCCAATACATGGGACCGAGGGGTGGTTGATCCTCTTCCCTATCCTAGGCCCAAAGCCTACTCCTACCCTTCACTAGGGCTGGCCTCTTGCCGTCGCAAACCCCTAGGGTTGCCCACGGTTTCCACACTCAAGAGTGCACCGTGCCTAGCGCCCAAGGCGCCTAATCCCATGGCCCGCTCCTACAACGCCGGAGCGGGTCCTTGGCCGCCATGCCCGTTCCTAGGGCAGGCACTTGCCACATGGCCCGGCTGGCCGCAGCGGAAGCACAAGCCCCAAAACCCACGACAATTGGCCGTGGGTGGGAGGCCCCTCTTGGGTACGAACGGCATCGGCGCGTTGTTTCCGCGACCGCCTCCATGAAGGGTCGAGAGGTCAGCAGGCTCTTCTGCTGGTACAGCTTGAAGCGCTTCGCCGTGCGGAAGTCGGAGGCGTCCTCCACTTGCAGCACCTCGAAACGCCCCGAGAGGAGGTTGAGAGCGTGCGAGATGAGTTCGAGTCCGCCTGCCGAGTCGCCGCACTACGCCTTGTATTCCGCGTGCAGCAGGTACGCACGCAAGTCCTCCAACAGCTCCGCTTGCTCTTGCACGGAGTCGTTGACGAATGTCGCCGCCGAAAAGGTGAGGTTAGAAGAAGGGAGGGAGGGGGGGGGGGGGGGAGGGGGGTTATCCGTGCCAATAGAAATAGCATTGTTGACTGGAGCCTCACCGGCTTCATCTTCAGAGTCGTCGGTGTCGTTGTCGACCGCTGGAGCAGGGAGAGTGGCGGTCGCTGCGTCGTTGTCATGCCGATTCGTCCGTGCTCCTCGCGTGCCTTTTTCTTTTTTTCACATTTTCTATTTTAGCCGACGCAGATGCAGCGGGTAGTGCACTTTCCACGGCTGTAACGCTGACGAGCTGCAGCTGTAGAAGGGACAGCAGCGCGTTGACCTGGTCCGAGGTCAACGCCTGCGTTAGCGCGGGGGCGGTCGTCGCGTCAGACGAGGAGACCGCAGTCCGCCTCTTCTGGCGCTAACGCGACGGTCCAACCGCGGGTGCTGGCGTGTGCTCGGCGTCAGGTGCGTGTGCTGCGCCAGCTGTCGTCGTCACTTGCGCCGCAGGTGCCACTTGCGCCACTGGCGCTGAAGGGTGCTGCTGGGCGTCGGCAGTTTTGTTGACCTCGAGCCCACCCAGCAGCACGTCCACTGCAGTCGGGGCGGACGGTCCATCTTCTGCCCGGCGCTTGTTACGGCGGTCGCCCGCAAAATCGCGGGTGTTACGGTCAGAGTCGGAAGCGGGGTTGGACGAGTTCCCGTTATTAAGTGTCGGCATCGGTGCCATCGTTGAGCGATTGAAGTAAAAAATGCCGCTGAGTAAAGTCGAGGGTGACTCGCCTCTAGGAATCGATTTTGTTCTAGCCAGCTTGGATGGAGGGATAGACTACGTGAGCGGAAATGTTGAGTGAGCCGTTTGAAAATAGAGAAACGTGGGTGGAGTACAATTGTGAAATTGAAGAAGGGCGTTTAACGCGTTTCGACGATGGCAATGGTGCAGTACAAACAGCTTCGCTTTCACAATACACAATTTAAAAAAACGACATGTGTGTTAAAATTAAAATAATTCCACTGGCTGCATTTTATTATATAACTTCTACACCACCTCCGAGACCATCCCTGCATTAGCTTTCTTCTCCCCAGTGTCCAGGAAACGCCTGAAACTGGCACTACTCTGACCATCTATGGCAACGTTGGCAGCAGTGGAAGCTGTTTCAGTCAACTCACACCTGAGACTTATCACCACTCTCCCAGCTAGTGAACTGGTCCTTCCATCCCTGCCATTCCAAAACCATCAGGCTAAAACCTTCTGCCCGCCCTGCTGCCAAAGCATCCTTGTCTGGTCCTTCCATTCCCGTGGTTCCAAAACCATCAGACCTGAACCTTCTGCCCACGCCGCTGCCAGAGCATCCCTGTCTTGTCCTTTCAGTCTTTTGGCCCCGGGACTATCAAGCTCGATCCTCTACCCAGCCTGCTGCCAGAACTTCTCTACCTTGTCCTTTCATATTTGCACTTTCAAAATCGTCAGGCTAAAACCTTCTGCCCACACTGCTGCCAGAGCATCCCTTTCTGGTCCTTCCATCCTTGTGGTTCCAGAACTAAGCCCGATCCTCTACCCAGCGTGCCACCAGAACTTCTCTACCCATCTTTGCAGTTTCGATGCTGCCAGAACAATCAAGTCCGATCCTCTACCCAGCCCGCCACCAGCACGTATCTGTCTGGTCCTTCCAAGCAGGTTCAGAATCATCAGGACCGAAACTTCCACCCACCCTGCTGCCAGAGCACTCCTGTCTGGTCCTTATAAACTGTTGCAATACAATATATATCCCGTGGCCTTTGCGCGCTGAATCGATCACAGTTCGCCCTTTTGCCCGCGGGCACGGCCATTGCTGAAATCAGTTCGCCAGGTTAGGATACCAGCAAAAAGACTACCAGCAGCAGTAGCAGGGGCAGCAGCGGCAGCAGGGGAAGCTGCAGATGCAACAGCAGCAGTTGTGGCAGGAGCAGTCGCGGCAAGTCCATTGTTACTGGACGCAGCACAGTGTCGGGCTTATAGCGGGATGCCCTGTGGGACGCATTGTGGGATGCGAGGCAACCTTCGGAAAGCCTTCACAAAGATGCTCTGGGCCAGTTTTGACGTGCCTCGAAGCTCGGCTTGGAAATTGCTCGTCACTGAACGCACAACACACCGTGACGAGGGGGAACGCACAACACACCGTGACGAGGGGGGACCCCTTGACTCAAGGCACTCCCTGTGAAGGCATTTACGCTTCCACCAGGAAACCCTTGAGTCAAGACACTCTCTGTGAACGCGTTCAGTTCATGCTTCCTGCTTCACTGCACGAGATGCTTCTGTTCAAGCTGTGGGTACTCCAGGAGTTGATAATTCCAGGTGCGCGGGACCCCTCTTCGTCCTTGTAACATTTTTGTTGCCCGTCGTTATTGAATCGGCCTCTGCCTCTTCTCTGTCCTCGTTATTAAACACGACTGTATCACTCTCCATCTCCACTGCTGCTGCTGCTCTCCCTGCTGCTGCTCCCGCTGCTGCTAGCAGTGCTGCTACTGCTGCTGTAGACCAAGTTTGCAGCCACTGCAGTTTCGGCTGCTGGTGCTGCTGCAGCTGGCGATGCTGCTGCTTCCGCTGCTGCTTCCGCCGCTGGTGCTGCTGCTGCTCCCATTCCCTCTGCTCCCGTTCCTTCAGCCACCTCTCCATCTGTCACCCCCTCCGCTTCCGCGGCTTCACCAGCCGAGAGGTCGCGGCGGCAGATGGGGCAGGTGGTTTTGGCGGCGAGCCAGAGGTCGATGCAGTCGGCGTGGAAGCCGTGTGCGCACGCCGGCACCACCTTGATGCGCTCG